TTGAGATAATTAAGTTTAATCATTTGTTTTGATTTTCGGACTGATCCGGGATTAATCAAATTTCATGATTTTGATTGGTTAAAGGTAACAGATGACTATCGGGTAATCTCGTGATATGCTTTGCCTTAGGAAGTTTCGTGTAATATTTCTTTTACATTATCTCTGAAAGTATTTCATTTGGAAAAATGGCCGAAATATTGACTAAGGGTAAGTTTCCAATAATATATATTATATATTTATCTATTAAATTCTCTAATTCGAAATTTCTTTTTTTACGAAATTATCAGTTACTGGAAGACAATTTAAACTTCGTACCCCCAGTCGTGAAGAAACGAAAAAAGAATTTCCTGCCTTGAGCAGTGATGAATTATTAGATATGGTATGCCATTCGAGCTTTTTTTTTGTTTAAATAATAACAACAGAAATAATGTATCAAATTATTATTTTCAATAGAGCCGTTGGTTTAATGAATACGGTACTTTACGCTCTGACGAGGAACTCAAAGACATTTCCATTGCTAAAACATTATATCCAAATATTGCTACTTTTGAACAATATGCGTACAAAAACTGGAGTAATAAATAAGTTTTAACTTTGTAGATTTAGTTGTGGTAATCAAATCAAAGCGAACATATAAATATACAAAATAGATTTTGATCTGTTAACGTTAAAATTAACATTAGACTTGATTGATTTTTTATGTTACATAATGATGCAGATGATCATCATGTGCGGGAAAAAAAATCTTAAGAGTTCTCTTCAAGTTTGCAACCCACAATAAAATTATGACAGACAAATCCATTTCGTAGACAATATATTTTACCAATTGTTTATTTCACAAACAAATTTTTTTTTTTTTTGTAAATTGCATTAATTTTAAATCTAATTCTAATGACAATGACTAAACTTAATTTATAAATAAGCCGCTGATGAAATAAACTCTATGAAACGAACTTGTCTGTTAATTAATCATTTGTAAAATAATTATGACTGTAATTCAATTGTCTGTGAAGTTAATCATTGAGCCATAACCATCTATTCTGATATAATAATACAAACTAGACTACTATTTACTCATTACATAACTGTGCATTGCATAAATAACTCTCTTTGCAATATCCTTTACCCTTGTTATTAGAAAAGAAAACTTTGTCGGTGAAATGAGCTTCCGTAAAAGACTATTGGAAAATAAACTTGCTGGTGGCTATGAAGTGATTATCAATAAATAATACGGATCCATCCGGAATAGTGATTTACCATTTCCTTTTTTAGTATTTGATTACTGTGAAAAATTTTGTTAATATCTAATAGTTACATACGTACGATGGGAATATTCCATGATTACATTTATTATAACTAAATCGGGTGTAGATAGGGAATGTTGTAAAATATATAAAAGTGATCCTTTTATTAATGGGAAGAGATAGTGAACAATAAGTAACAACAAGCGGTTATCCAACTATCATTAAACCCAAAATCCTTCATAAAACACTGATCCGCATAATTTATGTAGTGCCCAAACTAAACCGCACATGTTCACTTATTGCTCTCCCACGTTTAAAATTAAATAAGAACGAAAGAGCATTAATCGGTCCTAAGGATATAATCTCTAAAATATTCCAAATTTATGCTTCAACCATCCAAATTTTGTTACTACCATTTCAAGTGATGTTTTAAACGACGGAATTTATAACTGACTTGAGTCCATCGACAAGGAGAAAATTACTTTCATTATAATTCCATCTTGAAGATACTGGATTTGATTCTAAAGATGGAGAAGATTTTGCATAAGATCATTAAAAAAGAACGCATCATCCTTATAAATTTCTCATAATAAGCTTAGCCATAATAGAGAAAAAGTGCTAGAAATGCTTTTTGTAAAACTATTACAATAACTTACTTGAATATTTTATACAACAAGCTTACCAATAATGCGGCTCTTGTTAAAAATAATTTCTTGACCTATCTAGACATTTCAGAAAATCAAATTTCTAAAAAGACAATATTAAATAAATTAAAAAGAGCTTTAATACAAAACATCATAGCATAGATTGAGATTAAAAGTCAAAGAGGTTTATCTTGATATAATTTTATTAAATATTAGCTTCTGTGCATCCTTATGTTCGTTATCACGAATTGTTTTTATGTAGAGTTATGTAAATATTTTATGTATATTTTATTTAAAAATTATACATAGATCTATAAACCCAATGTAGACTTAAATAGTTATAATTTATACATAAATATATGATAATTATAAATATAGTTATCTAAAATTTAATAAATATAATATTATATTTAGTAGTCAAACAAATAAATAAATTGTTAGATAAAATAAAGTTATAATTAGAGTTAGAGCAGTTAGAATTAGGGTTGGGTTAGGTAAAATTACGAGAGGAACATTTTTTTATTAGTAATGCGATATGTGTGGTTACCTTAGTAAAATTTTGAGATATTGACTAATTTTTTTTCAAAATTTATATTAAAATTTATTTAATTTTTATAATATACAAAGGTTATATAATTATATATGCAAAATTATTAATATATAAAATATATAATGTATATTAGATATAAGGTCGCGATTTCAGTTTTCGTGGGGCTTTCAAGATTCATGACCATTTTTACTTAGAGTACCTGATCCCGTTTACTTAGTACGTTTTTGAGATATAGCGTAAGGTGTTATAAATATAACTATCCTTTGAAAAATATCAACGAAAAATTATTTTATAAATACAAAATAAAAAAAAACGGCGTCAATCACAAATTTTGTTGATTCTCAATCGACACGTGTTATTTTCAATCTCTACAGATTGAAGAATAACTATAGATTTTTAATGCAATTAGTTATTAAATTATATTACGATAAATTACGTAGTAGTGGTGACGTTGAATAATAAAATAATAATAATGATCAAATATTTGACTTACCGTATTTACTCGAAATAACGCGCAGGGGAGTAATTTCGAAATTTGGCCCGAATTAAGCTTAATTCGGGCCAAAATT